TGGTTTTAGGGTTGGGGGCGTTTTTTGGGGTTTTAGGGTCTAAAGAGCATGAAACTTGTAGAAGAGCAACATCTTCTTCTATTAATTAAGAGATGATAGGAAAGAGAATAAAGAATGATTTTTAGAGCTTAAGATCATAGCAAAAGAAAAGGTACTCTTTGTAAATGTTAGTTTTAAGTATAAATTTGAAGGCCTTAACATTAAATATCATTATATAATTTTTAACACAATTAAAAAATAGTTAAAAAATCTGCTAAGAGCAGCAAAGAAATTTAAAAACTATCCTCTAGGATATGTATGATTTGTTGGATTAATCCTTAGTGAACGGGTAAAACTGATAAAGTCACTCCTATATGTTTTAATTTAAGTAAATTAATCTGATATTCGTTTTTCCAGACATACAGCTTAATAATAATAATAACAAATAATTCCAAAACTATTTCTGATTAATAAATAAAATATTTCATAAGTTTATAATTTTTAAATGTTGGAATGTTTCTACTTTATTGTCCACAATTGTGCTCTCCGATCTTGCACAAACACAATCCACTCTCTTATCCTTTTCCAACTCTCCCCAAGAAGTCCTTTGCCTTTGACTCACTCCTTTTGCCCACTTGTTGGATTCCACCTTGACTTGACTTACGCTCCACACGAGCTCTCTCTCCAAGTTCCTTACTCTCCTCTCTTTCACAGGACTTCTCCACACATACATACATCCCCTTCGTGGCCAAACTTTCTCCCTTTTCCCGCTGCATGTCCTTCGCTCCTTAGCAAAGACACGACAAACTTTTACTCGCTCGGCTGTTTTTCTTGGGCTTTCCTTTTGGTTTGCTCACTCAACCTCTCCTCCCCCCCCCATCGATTCAAACACTGGCTATCCTGCTCACTCGCTGCTGGCTCCTTTTTGGGGGGAAGGAGATGGCACTTGTTTAAGGACTCGCCTTCGGCAGGTAATAATAGCAAGCTCTTCCGCTGACACACTTTCCGCAGGATGGGGAAATGGAAGTGGATGCAACGTTAACGCTGCCTGCCGGTTAATGTGTGGCATTTCTCCTACCTCAAAAAGGACATCCCACCATCCCATTTATCCTTGGTGGGTGTGGCATGCCGGCCTCTCAGGATTCTGCGCAGGATATGCTCGGCTCCAATAGGTTGTTGGCCAGCTGGGTTAGTTGGCCGCTTAATTGCCGACTCCCAGGACGAGCCTCGTGGTTGGACGGGAGCCTAGAAAGGAACCCATCCCCTAGAGATACGTTCCAGGACCTCTATTTCACGGCAGGATCCTGCCGAAGTGCCGCATGCCGAAGTCTTGTTCACCGTCGGCCCTTATCACGGCTGCTCCCTAGATTTATTCACCGTCGGAATATAGTATATATATTTTCTTTTTTTTGCTTTGGTTGTTAGGCAGTCTTTCTCAGTCCGCGATGTCCTTGGCTGTAAGTATCGAAATACCCGCAGGATATTGAGGCGGAGGCGTAGGCGGGTGTAAGTGGGTGACAAACGGTAATGGTCCATTACCATATTGTACGCATACATTACACGTGTACATAATAAAAAGGTACTTACATACCCGCACACGCACAAACACATACATACAGTAAGACTTTTTGTTTGTGAGGTCCTTTTGTGATCGGGGTCACCATTTAAGTTAGAAGCTTATCCTTCTCTTCCTTTTGTGACCGCGGGTATGGGCTTTAATTATTTTACATACTTGGGGGAGTCCTTGTGATAAACATATGTAAGTGATTTCAGTTTTTTTTTATTTAAAGGATTTGCATGGTAATAGAAACAGCTTGGAGGAAGGATACTTACGATAGGGGTCATCACATATATAGCTCCTGGGAAGCTTCCCTTGACTTTCTTTGACATCCTGCGACTTCCTGTGACTTTCCTTTACTACCCTTGACATTCTTCCTCACAATAACTATTTATAATTCTAATAATTGCTAGTATCTTTGTATAGTATCCTCGAGATAGTTGAGTATCTCATAACCTACTTTCCTCTTACCGTTATGTTTTAGGTTAAGGATATTTAATTACTCAACCAAACCAGACAATAAGCTTGGTAATACATCCGTATTATATAACACCAAAAGAGACACCCATCAGTATGAGGAGGAGGGACGCTGCCATATCAACAAGTGAACAACGATGGCTGACCCCTCGAAACCACACCATTATTATACACAATATTCATATTCTTAGCATCATTATTATCATTGTTCACTTCATGAATCCATTAGGAAAATTATGCTCAACAGTGTGTGTGAGTGGAGTGTTGACCCATTTAAGTCATTATAAAAACCTGTTAATTAAAACACTTTGTTTTGTGATATTCCTATCCGTCAGAAAATGCTTTTCCTGCAGAATTGGGTTAACCCAAGAATTGACTCTTTGATTACAACAAACAATGAACAATTAGGGAAATATATAGAATAATTATGTATATTAGATAGAAATGTATGAAGATGTTTAGCATTACTTGCTGGCACTAATAAATGCTCTCAGAATTTACTTTAATGTGATGCAAACGCTCCTCTTGAATTTCCCCCAAGAGTTCCTCCTAGAAATCTGATGAAATTTGCCAATTAGGTTAAAGCATTCTGCTGATATTCCAATGTACTTCCCCCTGTAGTTCCGCGATAAGTGACTTCGAGCCATGAAAGTAATGAGGGGGCAGACAATCGACGTCATCAGACGTTATACTATATATGTTTGACATGACCAAGAAGTTCACTTGAATGGCCTTTTTTGGGGGGCGATTGGTGGTTGGAGTGCCCAGCCTCTCATACGTGGGGTATATACACATATACATGTATATATATTTATATATATGTATACAAATGTACAGATAAGATTCAGCTCTGCTTGTAGCCTTATCAATGTTATCAACTTATAGGCCAGACAGTGGAAACTGCCTAAGTTGGGTGCTGTTGATAACAGGAATTATTTTCAAGTTGTTTTTTATGTCACAAATATGTCGTTTTTTATTAGATTAAAATTAGGTCTATAACATGGAAAATTTATAAATTATATTACAAAATAAAAACAAGAAAGATAACTAAGCTTGTGAAACCAAAGTTGTGTTTATATTCATAGGATAGTAAGCCTATAAAACAAACTCAAATATATAGAAGCACAAACCCCTTTTTAAACTTCTGGTATATATTTTTATGGGTCAAAATAGTTTCATATAGTTCAGTATCTAGATTCTCTCTTTAAGAATTTTTACTGTACAAACAGTTGTTTGCACTTTTGATGGCTACATTGAACCATCTTGCATTGGAAAATTCTTTGTTTCGTTGATTTGCATTATCATTGAGGCAACGCCAAGAGCTATCTAAGGAGAGCTAAAAAAAAGAGCAGGAAAATTGCCAGTGAAAATTCTGTTGCTCTGTGTGGGTGGAAAAAGTTTGCGGGAGTATGGGAAATTGCTTAAGCTTCGCTCGGCCTTGCTGATTGCATTTCTATATATGTATATGAATTTCAAACTCGAGTGAGTGTGTGTGGATTCGTTCGTTTTGCTTGTTGCCGGGCAGCAAATGGAATTGCAATGGCAAAATTGCAACCGCAATTGAAACTTACTTGGCATATGCGGAAATATGAATATGAATTGTTTCTTGGTTTGATCAACTTTTGCCTCAGTCACAGCCTGAGCTTCAGTCTGAGCTCCTTTGTTCCAATTATAGATGCAGTTCTGGTCATATCGCCCTCTGCAGTACGTATCTATATAAGCTATATGTAGAATGTTCATGTGCCGGTTTGTGTCTGGCGCTTCAGCTTCAACTGATATCACAATGTCTGGCGCTGTGGCCTGAAATGAATGATTTCGCGGCAGAGGTAAGTCCAGTATGAGTAAATCAATGCGAATACATTGAGTGTGCACGCGAGTATATACAAGTGGCAGTACGAGTCTGGGGCAAGTAGCTTCTCCTCTGACTCTGGTTCTGCCTCTTGATTGGACTGGAAGGGCATAAATCATGTGGTGAATGAAGTTGAATGCACTGCAACAAGTTTTTGCGATATCCACGGGCGGGCATTCTTGAATTCCATTCGTATCTGCAAATTATATGAATGAAGCTGATGCCGGAGCACGGGAAAAGGAATTTTTGCAGTTTATACTGATTGCACAGAGAAAATGAAGCTGTTTTAAGAATAAATAACTTAAAGATATATATTTATTGAGGGATTCATAAAAAAATCAAACTTTTCCAGAACCTCTTATTAATACAATCATTTTAAAAAGCCAAGTAACCAAAAATACCCTTTTGATATTTATTTCCCACGAATATTTAGGCCTAATTTAATATATTTTTCCATCCACGATTAGATCATACTTCCACAAAATGTAGGTAGTCCAGAGAACACCCTTGTAATATGGTAATCCGACTCAAGGTTTTAGGCATTCAGGAAGGCATTAATATTGATTAGTTGATCCATAAATTGAAACTATATTCATTCCATAAACATAATTTATGCATATTCCATGGACCCCTTTTTATTTCTTATTCTTTTTCTTGCTTTTCCCCCGGTATAATAAAGCGATTAAAATGTAAAATATCTACATATGAAATGATGACCCAAATACAAATGGCATGGGGTATTATATATGTATGTATATGCCAACTATTTAAATGCTAGTTGTGCCCTTTTGCCAAGATTTTGCCAACACAGCTGTCGATGGATAACAGCAGGACAGGATGGTCTAGGAATCCTTTTTTCTGACCCAAAAGCCGCTGGAACAATTGCCAAGGCAACCAATAGCCACTAAAAGGCTTAGATAATCCATTAGTGCCAAAGGCCAAGCCAAAAGGTATAAAACGGCCAAAGGAAGCTGGATTTTTTGAGATTAAACAACGAAATTGGGAATACCCTTAAAGGTATATATTATAAAGAGTTCTCAAGTGTCTGAAGAGTTTTTCCTCTCAATATTGAATACAAATGTATTTATGTACATCCCTAACTTAAGGTTTATTAGCTCTTAGTATATATCAAGAAAATTAACCAATAATCTCTTAACATTACTTTATTTTCATTATTCATTTATCGGTGGCAAATATCTTGACTTAATCACATTAGTTGGTTGCAATAATTTGAGTTTTGATACCGCCGTGGCCAACTGAATGGATGCCCGACTTCGAGCTTTGACTTTAGCAGCGGCCTTCTTTGGCTTTACTGTAGATCTCTGTAGATCCAGCAACAGATTACAGAACTCAGGCAGCATGGCAAATTTCTTCGGTATGGATTCTGATAGGGCGTTGTTTATATGTTGGGTATGTTTCATCAGTTGGTCATGAGTATTCTGCAGCAACTCACGGGTTTTCTTTAGGCGACTTAAAATGCCTACATATTGCATTTTATAGCAACGTAGAGGTACCTTTGGGTATTATTATTTTAGTAGGTAAATTTAAATAAATTGTAAGATCTTACCCTCGAGGTGGAAGTGTGTTCCAGGGTCACCATTAAAGGTCGCATGTGATTGCTGTAGGTCAGGTAAGTGCAAAGGGTAATGTCCAGCTCGTTGAACCGCTCCAAGCAAATTCCTGTTTGATGTTTAAGCTCCTCTATCCACTGGGGCACCTTTTCCATCTTCTCGGCCAGATCTCTGGTGCATCGCTCAGCCTCCTGGATCCGTGCAGTCAGGCAGGCCAGCTCCTTGGTTGTCTCTGCCAGGCGATTCCTTACTACCTCGATCTGCCGAAAGGATCGTGAGGTATCCTTTTGGATTTCCCTCAACTGTTCGTTCTTCGAGTCAGCTAACTTCTCGAATTCCGCTTCCACTTCATCTGTGGTGGTTGCTGGCTCCCGAACTATCATACTTTTCATCTGCAATACTCGTTGCTTCATCTTCTCCAACTGATCGTATGCCTTATCCAAGTTCAATTCATCATGGTGTTCTGTAATGCTGCAGGACGTCAGCTCTATGCTGCTCTCCACCTGGGGTATTCCTGGCGCCTTGCAGAACATCACAAGTCCTTTTTGTTGTATTGTATATCAGGGGACTAATTTTGTTAACGGATGAATATTAGGTGTATCTGAAAGGGAATTGAGTATGTGTCCTTGTGGGGTGATCGTGAGTGCGTCCTTGTGGGGTGATCGTGAGTGCGTCCTTGTGAGGTGCTCATGTGTAAGGTGTGTGAGTGAAGGGATATTCCCAGAGTTTTAAATAAACATAATTGACACAAAAATGCAATGCCTACTTGGTGAACTGAATTTTAAATAGTAAAGAAAGCCAAGTCAAAAGAATATATTGAAAGGAAATCCTTACTTATCTTTGAAGGAGATACCGATGTAAGACTAGTTAACAGCATTAAACTAAATGCAGATATCAGACTAAGTCGTAATTTCTCTTTTCAATTTATTTTAATTTAATTATTTTAAGCAAACTGTTTTCTGAAACAATTCCTTTACCATGCGCTGTAAGGTAGGCAATGATTTTTGCCAACAGAGCTCTAAGATCAGTGAGACCCATACCCTAAAAGGGTATTCTTGAAAAAAGGGCGACACAAACTTATCCACATTGCCAGGACGACGACGACGACGACGCTGACGACAAGAACGCGAATTTCCCTCGCTTTTCCCCTCCGATTTTCATATCCTGTGCGTGCGGGTGCGTCCATGAGTGTGTGCAAGTGTGTGTGAGTCGACACAGCAATTTGTACAAGTCAAACCCGTTGGCGCCAAAAGTCTACGGTTCTGCCAATGGCAAAAGGAAAAACCCGAAAACGAAAGATGAAAATCGGCTTAAAAAAAAAACGTGCCCAGCAGTATGCCAAAGGTGCTCTCGCCGCCTCCACACACCCCTCCGTCCTTCCCAGGAGAGGATAATTTATAACCCGACAAACTTTGCGTACAAAAGTTTTCGCTCTTCCACGATTTTCTTGCTCTTTTTTTTCGCCTATTTTATTATTTCTTTTTATTTTTTTTGTGCTGCGTTGCGATGAAAAGTTTTTCACGTTGCGCGGCGTTGGCGATTTTTAATTCTTGCGCTAAATTGTTTAAAAATGTTGGAAGAAGAATTCTGCAGAGCAATGGAACTTTGCCACCCGAGCGATTGGCAAAAGGGATAACTAACAGGAGGAGGGAAAAAAAGTTTGTGGCATGTTGACCACTTTGTCGTCGGCCTTTGGCTAGTTTTTTATATCGTGTAGAATGGTTATTGGAGGGTATATAGGTTTTACTGATACTAGGATAAATATTATGGTAAATTTTTAATTGAATTTAAAATGAAATTCAATTTATCTACATAAATAATAATACATAGATTGCCAATATTAATTATTCTTTTTTATTATTTTTATTATTCTTTGGCAAGACAATATAGTAAAAAAATAAATATATTTACTTAAGAGTAAAATTTGTTTGTACTGAAAATAAATCTGTAACCTTATCCATCTAACCATGTGTGGTTGTTTAAAAATATTAAAAATCTCGGGATATCGAAATCTCGGGAATTATTTGACCGAATGATCTGAATACTGGGATGTAAGTTGCTTAAGCTGCATTAAGCAAGTCCCCTTAATTTTAATTTTTTAATTATTTTTTTAAGGCATACATAACGATTAAGAAAAAGGAAGTAATATGATTTTAAAATCTTATTTTGCTTCTATAACATAAGAAAACTTATAACTTTTAATTTGAGAAAGGAAATATTCGATATATAAATATATATCACTATATAACAATAAAATAATATATATTCTATTAATATTCTATATATTATGCAAAGTATCTCATGGTCGTCACACCCCCAACTAGCCATGTTTTGCTCCTTTCTGTGCGATTTCCGCTTCAGTGTCGATGCAATTTGTATTAGGAAAGTTTTTCGCCAATTCGAAAGTGGGATGTAAAGAGGTATGGAGTTGCGAAAAGAATTTTCACAGTGCGCAAAGTATACCGATGGCAATAAATTCTTAGTAACGAACATTTTTAGCATCTCTGATTTATGCTCAATTAGCACTGACTGGCAAGTGCCCCCCAGATACACAGAGATACTATACTACTGAGATATGTATATCCATAAACCTGACAGCGCCTTCGCACCACATCCATCAAAGAATGCTCTTTTAGCTTCTGGCTTGACTTTTACAGTGTCCCAGTTCCCGATTTCCCCTCCGTTTTCTTGGAGGTCGTAAAAGCATTTAAGTTCCTGCCGTCGACGCCTTTCGAAGATTTTATGCTCGGTTAACCCCGCGATATAGTATGTACATATATATCAGGAATGATCGTAAAACTATACACGCGCCTCCCTCCGTCAAAGTCAATTTCATTTATCCTTTTCTGGTCCTGACTATATGCTCCTTCACGCGATATTTTTTTATGACTTAATACGGTTTTTACAAAGTTAAGCCGGTGGAGTGGAAACTTTTTGAGTTTTGCCGCTCGTAAAAATTAATTTAAATTGATTTTTGTGATGTGTGGGGGTTCAAGGAACCTCTCTAAGGCGGGGTTTGGAATTATTTTTTGGGGTTTACGGAAGCTTAATGGTGTTTTTAAAACCCTTTTGCCTTGAGGCTATAATAACTCAATTAAAATATCAATAAATATATAAATGAAACTATAAAAGTAAAAACACAAAAACCTTTTTCAACTTCCCTCATACTTCTTAATATATTTTTTTTGCAAACCACTTGTCATAATTATTTGTATTCTTCACATTTCCATTAACTCTTTCATACTGGATCTTAAATGGCCTTTGTTGGCACCTAATTTATTCATTATCTAACCATAAATTATATAAGTCTCTCTCAGCAAACGCAGCTGGTGTAAGACATTCACTTGGAGTTTCAAGTCAAAACCAGTTATCAGCATTCGAGCCAAGTAGTAGCAACAACTCTGTCCCAGTTCTCTACAAAAACAAAATAATAATAAACACAAATTAGATAAGAAATATTCCGCTCATAATTCGCGGTTGGCAACTTCGAACTCTTTTTTTTTTAATTTAGCAAAATCTACGATAGAAGAAAATGCGAATTTTGGCAGAGAAAGTACACGTGACGAGGTGGCCGAGAGGTTAAGGCGTTGGACTGCTAATCCAATGTGCTCTGCACGCGTGGGTTCGAATCCCATCCTCGTCGAATGATATTTTTTTATTTTTATTTGTTAGACCTTAATAAGGATTTTATATATATTTATTAGCTTATATTTTTTCTATTAGTAATTTAATTACATTTATATTTTATACCCCTGCAAGGTATACTAATTTCAGTTAGAAGTTTGCAACGTAGTGAAGGAGTCATCTCCGACCATATAAAGTTTATACATATGTATGTACAATATATTCTTGATCAGCATCAACACTAAGTATCTATGGCCAGATAGATCAATAAACATTAAGTAACTATGATCAGTAATAACTAAGAGCAGTAAGTAACTCTGAAGTATCTATGACCAGTAAGTAACTATAATCAATAAGTTACTATGATCAGTAAGTAACTATGTTCAGTAAGTATCTATGAGCCGTAAGTATGTATGATCACTTTGAACACTAATAAACAATGACTTGCAACATTTGTAACATTAAGAAACTCTGAACAGTAAGTATCTATAACCAGTAAGTAACTATATCAGTAATTATCTAAACTAGATAGTTTAGATAAAAGTATGAGTAAGTATCTAAGGATGTAAAGAGGACCATGGCAATAAAGAAATAAATTGGAATATAAAGTCTAGACCTAGGCCTGATCATGTCATGGTTAAGACTTACCGCAGTAAAGGACACGTCATTGCTTACTTCCTTCCAGTGTTGTGACCAAGAATCCAAGAGAGTTTCTTCCTGGTCATCCAGATGTTTTGCATTGGCCACGTCATACTTTTGAGGTCGAACGCTGATCACTTGCACTATCACTATCGATGTTAACACTAGGTACCCCTAGGACAGACTGAGGCGCGCGCGACCTCTGCGCCTCTATTTATAGTCCACGAGCAGAGCGGAGAAGAGCAGAGAAGAGCAGAGAAGAGCAGAGAAGAGCAGAGAAGAGCAGAGAAAGTGAGTGTGAGTGCGCGGGAGAGAAGCAGTTGCCTCTAGAGATTAACATAGAGCGATTAACATAGAGTGAGACGGGGAGAGGCAGAGAGGAGCAGCGTGCTGATATTTAATTTAACTATAAACAATAAGTAACTATGAGCAGTAAGTAACTCTTAACACTAAGTATCTATGACTAAGTAACTATGATCAGATGTGAGAGAGATGTGTTTTGGAACAAATTAAGAAGTAAGCTATTTAAATAAAACTATGGAGTTATTCTTCTATATAATTTTACTAGTATAAAAGTCGGAGCATGTCGAATTCGTGGACTATATACATACATATATAAAGCTTCTTGTTATTTATTATTTCAATTGACTTCAAATTGAATACTTGAGCAAGCATTATTTTGTTTGTTTGTCATATTTGCTAATAATTATCGAATTAATATCTTTAGTAAAGAAAATACAGCAATATATTTATAAAATTTGTGTTATAAATATATACACCATCGAATGGAATATTTTTTACCATACATGTTAATTAACTTTTAATAAAACAATGTTTGGAACTGGCTTATAATAATTAAATGTATACATATAAACTCACAACGTACAGCTAAAAATAAAATATATGTGTGAGGATTATTAATTATAATTAATAAACAATTAGTAATTCTTAAAGAAATCAAATTATTATTAATATTGGAGCCGTAATATTGGTTTAGTTTATTTTGTTATAAATAAATACATTCAAATAGTTTCCAATGGAATCTTAGTTCAAGTTACCAACATATTTAACTTAAATTTGTATTTTGTATTAAAAATAATTACTACATCACTAAAAACTTTAGGAAAACAATGGGAGTTTGCCATTTTTTGGCAGCATTTGAGTCTACCGGTGCCTATTTTTTTATACCCTTTACAGGGTATTATAATTTCAGAAACAAGCCTGCAACGCAGTGAAGGAGTCATTTCCGACCCTATAAACCATATATATTCTTTATCAGCATCACCAGCCGATTCGATCTAGCCATGTCTGGGAGAAAAATAAATGGTTCAATTTTTGCAACATTTTATAAGGGATGAAATCGTTAAAATTTTCAAGAAAAAATTGGCAAAAATTTTAATTTTTAAAAATCCCAAATTGAGTATGCAGATTTATTAACATAACAAAAACTAACATAGAACAGCTTTCCAAATTAAAATTAATGCATTTTTGTCTTAGTTATGGTCGATTTCCTGAGAGGGTACAC